CATCAAAGTAACAAACCACATCCTCTCTCTTTGTGACCAGGGTTCCCTCTGCCTCATCTTCCTTCTGAACCTCTCTGTTGTGTTCGACAGTCGACCATGCCATTGTCCTCCACTGCCTCTCCTCCCAACTTAGTGGGATCCCACTCATATAGTTCAGGTCCTACTTAACCAACCGCTAGCACTTCATCTCGGACAATGGTTTTTCCTCTTACCCCTGCCTGGTCATCCATGGGGTACCCCAAGGCTCCATACTTGACACACTTGTTTTTTTCATCTGCATGCTCTTTCTCGGTGATGTCATCCGCAGACATGGGTCAACTTCCACATATATGCGAATGACACCCAAATCTACATCACCTCCTCCAGTTGCACTCCCAGCCCACTGATGTCCTGTCAGCTTGATGGACGAAATCAAGGCCTGGATGAGCCCAAATTTCCTGCAGCTGAATTGTTGGCAAGACAGAAGCCATGCTCTTTGGCTCCCGTCAACGTCTTCTCTCCTGCAGGTCTGAACTCCTCAATCTACCCGGGCTCTCCCTCAGACTCTCCAAATCCGTGCGCAACTTAGGCGTCAGGTTCGATCCCCAGATTTGCTTTCTACCACACATCCGTTCCCCGACCAGGATCGCTTTTTTCCACCTCTGCCACATTGTCCACCTCCATCCATATCTCACAACGAAAGCAGCTGAAACCCTCGTCCACGCCTTCGTCATTTCCCGGTTGGACTATTCCAATGCTCTCCTCACTAGTATTCCCAGCTCCACCATACTCAAAATTCAATTAATCCAAAACTCCACCGCCAGGATACTCACCCGCATGAAACCCTGTACCCCCATCACACCAGTCCTTGCCAGGCTCCACTGGCTCCCTATTACCGAACGGATCTATTTCAAGATAATAATAACAATAATTCTTGCATTTGATATAGCGCTTTTTACATCTTCTCGACATCTCAAAGCACTACACAGAATATGTTGTAAAGTGAATTGACTGTATATTTGTGGGTGAAACGCGGCAGCCAATTGCGCACAGCAATGTCCCACAACAGCCGTGGATTGAAAATGACCAATTTATTATTGTTGTGTTTTGGAGGGATTATTATTAGGCGTGTGGAATAAGGAAAGGTTTCGCCCTGCCTGGAAATGAACCCAAGTGTCTCGCTTGCAAGGCGAGTGCTCTAACCACTGAGCTACAGGACTCCCCTTACTCGTTTTCAAATCCTTTCATGCCCTCGCACCTCCCTATCTATCTGACCTGCTTATCCCCGCTTCACCACCCGCTGCCTCCGCTTGGCTGGCTCCTGCCTCCTGTTTGTCTCTTATGCCCTCCATTCTACCATCGGTGGCCGTGCGTTCAGCCAGCATGCCCCAAAACTCTGGAACTCTCTCTCCCTCAATCTTTCTGCCTTGCCCCTTCCCTCCCCACCTTAAAATCCCGCCTAAAGACCTTCCTTTTTGATCGTGCTTACGGTCACCAGCCACCCCCACACCCCACCCCCAGCTCCGAGAATGCAAGTTGTTGTCATCATCTCCAGAGATCTTTCAATTTCAGTGTTTTTTCCCTCTTCATTCCATCAAAGTCCCCCCCCAACCCCCCGTTCAGCACTTTGAGAGCTTCCTTGTCTCAGGACATCCATACTTATTTATCCTTAAGTATGGATAAATGCTCTAAACTTTTGAAAAAGCACTATCTGTGAACCCATTGTTCTGAAAAAACACTGCACTAGTTTTGACAAACAATTTTCTATTCAGGTTTTGAGATTGCAAATACGAAGAGGACGATGAATATTACAAAGGTGGCAAACATTCATAATGTTGTTGATATCAAGTTAACTTAATTACATAAGTCTGATCACTGAATAAAATGAATGATACCACAAAATATATGCAGTATAAATGTACTTACCAGACACAGAAGCTATCCTTTTGGGCCTCTTCCACAGATTATTGAATGTGATGAATATCTTCCCTTCAGTCACTGAGATTGTTGCGTGTCACTGTGTTGTATGTCACTGTGTGACACCTTCAGTTGAACTATCTTCTTAAGCAACCAAATACATTTTTACACTGTTCTACATCCCTGTTCATGGAGGACCTTTTGTTGGCCTATTTTGACATTTCTCCCAGCTATTGAAGATCCAATATTTTGCTCCTGATCACCGGAAAGATCCTCTGGTAAAGAACCATGTTTGAAACGGGTAATACCAACATAAGCTAAATTAAACATCACCTATTTTTATGTACTATGGTTACTTACTGCTAAAAGTGCCTTACACAGCACGACGTTCCCAGTGTTACCATTCAAGGACAGGCGGACACAGTAGAAGATATAAAACCTACAGTGAACTCCCCTCCCACTCTCCCACACCATGAGCGAACCAGGGAAAGCAGATCATAATCTGATAGCAATTATACAAATAACAAATCTAGTTTGTGCACTCTCCTTCAAAACACTGATAAAAAGTAACTGGGAACATTGAAACTGTTAAGACAAGAGCTGACCAAATTTTCCAATGGAGAGCTCTTGCTCTGACAGTGTGGACTTTCTACAGCAAGGGAAGCTCCATGTCATAACAAGCAGAGTGATACCAGAAGCAACACCTTGCCACAACACGTCAAAGCAGCTGCTGACATGATGTGTCTGAGATGATCCAGTATCAGTCGGGTCAATCGGCATAAATGCTGTGCTTAAAGCTGCACTTCATAAAGAAATACAACCAACCATTTACAGGCAGATGGTTCAAGAACGACTTGCTCGACCTCTCAGGTCCCACTAATTATCCATATGGTGTTTACGCAGCAACGAGGCTCGGGAAGGAAATCAGGATGCTCCCTCTACAGTAATTCACATTCCCTTCCCAAATCATAGGTATTCCCTTAGGCCATTCGTGCAGCACATACGCCTTGCTTGGTCTGATGCCAGCTCCAGTTGGGGGCCTGCCAGGTCTTACTGAAAAAAGCTGTTACACCTCCTTGGTGCTGGTAATATGCACAAATGGCTTGAAACCATCCATTCAGTGTCAGGGTGATTGCACCAGGTATCTTGTGAGCCAGTCACCACGCTCAAATCATCACCTTGCAGTTACATTTGCCAATTAAAACACACAAATCTATAGACTGCCATGTTTTGATGTGTTAATTATCATCTACCTGCTAATTAACATATACACTGAATTTAGCGACGGTGTGATATTTAACACATTAACTGTTCCCTGGTTGAACCCCCCCACTCAACCACTCACCTGACACTACTCAACAGCCACACCAGGGAGTCAGCCACTGTGAGGGTTAGCTGCATGCTCACTGACAGACATCTTAACAAAACTAACAGTATCTCTGGACCACTGCACAAATTTTACTTTGATTGTTGCAAAAAATAAAACTGGTCATTCACTTCATGGCTGTCTGTGGGACATTACCGTGCGCAAATTGACTGCCATGGTTGCCTATAATACACTGTTACTGCAATTTTCAGTATATTCTGTGAAGCACTTTGAGATGTCCTCCTGATGTGAAAGGTGCTATTTCAAATGCAAGGATTATTATTATTTTTTAAAACTTTACACGAATAAGCTCTTCCTACATTGCATTTCAAACATGTTCTGGGCAAGTCTCTCATCCTAATGTGGAAGCCTCCATATCCTTGTACAGGCATGAGTTATTCCTCAAAGTGTCATGTTAATGTTAAAATGGATTTTATCTATGCATCACTACATTTTTATCTTTACTCGGGGTACAGACTTGTTAGTGCTACAGACACTGCTCCATTTCCTTAATGAAATAAACATGATATTTTAAACACTTTAAATTCGCAGGAACGCAGTGCAGCATAAATAGAGCAGCAAGAATTGCCCGCGACTGTTGATCAATCTGTAGTATATGATAATGTTTCCTCCTGAACTTTTACTTCAGATAGTCTCACTTTCTCTTTTAGTGTTACCAAAATATTTAGAACTCTGACATCTCTCTCCTCCCCACCCCCAAGTCAACCTTATCCATTGCTTGGAAAAACAAGACAGTCTGTTTTTTTATGCCAGATGTTTCTTGGCAGATTCACACTCTAAATGTCCTGAGAAAGTCATGCCTTTAAAGCTCAAACAATTATGAACAGGAGAGTGCAAATTAACCTCCCCAGTGTTCTTCGTTACTCAACATGACCAGCTTTGATAACTGCATGTGGAAAAGAAACGGCAATAAGATTCTAGATTCTCTTGCAGGATTTTAACTGAATTAAACAAAAAAGGACCTCAGTCTGATGAGTAACCACAGAATCAACTGCTACAAGAGAAAAAGAATTTAGCATGGATCCAGAATGAAGCCATTTTATGGAGCAGGGACTCCTGGAAGACAATATATTATTACACGGTCGATAGTATGTATAGTTTGGTATGCAGCGTGCACGGTATGGTATGTATTGTATGGTTTGCATAGTATGTATTGTTTGGCACAATGTTTTGTTAGTAATGTAATGTATTATACAGTGCATTATATGTTTTGCATGATTGCGCGGTTGGACCAAGGTTTCAAAGTAGCAGCAACAAGTAATTTTTCTAGTCTAGATCATTTTTTGTACAAAAATTGCAGAAATAAGATTTAGCTTTTTTCAAGGTGGTAGGTATCCTTGGTAGGTACAAACAACATTATCAGCATTTGCAGTTTAAATAAATATATTTTTTACAAACTATATAACATAAATGGATAAAGAGATAATTGTGGTTCTTTATAACTTGTCTTCTTATATTTTCGGACAGCAAACCTCATTAAATTCATTCCTTATTCCTGTACTTATATACCAGTTCATTTAGAATGAAATTAAAAATGGTTTTACGGTGTAAGCTGGGTGACGCAATTCCAAAATATTCATTCGCTCTGGGCAAGTATGACATGAATTAAACACAGTGCTGAGCAACTGACATAGCTACAGTGTGTTAGTCACCAGCATCGAGGGACATGTGCAATGTTAGGGCGACATTTACAAAACAGCCTGCAGGCCACTCTCACCTCCTGGCGGTCCCGATCTCCGACTGCTGGAGCAGCCTGCCAGAGCTTGAGTAAATGGATTTCAGGAAAGAAGGGGTGGAGAAGGATGAGGGGATGCTGCCCAAATTGGATTCAGTCGCTGAGTTACATCTTATGACACTGTCGGGGCTGAGCAAGGGTAACAAAAATAAAAATCAATGGCAGTGAGGAGAGACATTGCGGATTTATTTATACCATCAAATTTGTGGTTTATGCTAATCATGTGTAAACTCATGTGTAAACAAGGAAATTTTAGTTACCTTTAGGTGCCTCTTTTTATTCCTCTTAATGATATAATTTGGGGCACCTTTAATTCTCTTGGTACAAAAGCATTTGCACATAGCACAACCGTAAATTAGACTTGAATACTCTAGGTAGCATTTGTAAGTGCTCTCTTGGCACCTTAGATTTGCTACTAGAAATGGAGGAAATGAAGATGGGTGAAAGATGTTGTAACCTTTGGTGATCTGAACATTTGTATAATTTAACCATCTTCTGTCTAAAATGTAGGATTCCACATAATAGTGAAGAATTCTTAAAAGCCTTAATTTGGGAGCCAGTTAGCCTCAGTTCTTAAAAAGAAACCAGATTCCAAATTAATACTGAATTTAAGAAGTTTGTACAATTCTGCCCTATCTTAAATTTTAAGGCAAAATGTTCTTACAGTTTAAGACTCAGTGAAAGTTCAGGCCTCAAAAAATGTGTGCTGTAAAACACCTGTAAAACTGTAAAACACAGGGCATAATCAATCAGGGTTCCCTGTCCTCATTGAAAGTGTATGAGATGTCAGTTAAAGATTCACACCACCGAAATCCTCATACATGCTTTCATTACATTGAGGCTCGACTATGCAAACTCCCTCCACAAGCTGCAGATCATCCAGCCCATGTCCTCTCCTGCACTAGGCTCCGTGACCCTATCACCCCCATCCTCACCCATCTCCACTGGCTTCCCATCACACAGAGGATACAGTTCAAGATCCTGGTCCTCACATTCAAAGCCCTCCACAGTCTTGCTTCCCCTACCTCTGCAACCTCCTAACCCCCTACCATCTTGTTCAATCCCTCCATTCAGCGAGCTCCGGCCTGCTTCGCGTATCCTGACTCGCTCGCTCCACTTCCGCCACTCTGCCCCCACCCTCTGGACCTCCATCCCACAGTCCCTCCGCCTCACCCCCTCCCTTGCCACCTTCGAGACCCATCTCAACACCCTCCTCTTCAACTGTGCTTTTGATCTCTCCCTCCCCTGCTCTCCACTCTCCTCCCCCCCGACCCCCAGTTCGGGTCCGTAACTCTGTCTGTCCAGCACCTTGGGATGTCCTCCTGACGTGAAAGGTGCTATACAAATGTAATTTTGTTGTTGTTATTGTAAAGATAGAATCCTGTTTGATTGTCACTTCCCACCCAGGCATGGTCAAGATTTTTGTTGAAACACGCTATCTGAGGTCACACATAAAGAACAGTCTATCAAATCAGGCATATTGGAGAGTACCAGTGTCAGAGGAAGTGTCCAATGGACAGAAGAAGTTTTCAGTAACTGGAGGTTCTTAAGTAAGGAAAGAATTTCTGCATGTCTCATATGCTGAACTTATAAAAAGCAAATTCCATTAACTCTGGACACCTCCCGAAATTACAAACATTTATTAGTTTCAAGTGTTTCACCAAGTGAAGGCCTGCCTACATCACTATAATGAGCCTCCTACAAACTGGCGAGGGATGAATCAACAAGATAATTTTAGACAGGATGATTCTTAGAAAAGCACTTGCTGGAAGAGTCTTCAATTACTATCTGAATTGACAACCAAAACCCTCTTGATGGGCCTTGTTGAAATGGCCTTATTTGCCTATGGCAGTATATGAGAAGCAGAAAGCTTGATAAATACCATATTCACAACAGTCATGATGTTCCTTCAGGGAGCTTTCCCAGATTGAACTAATTGTTCAGAAAGGAGATCTGAACAATCCCTATTTGAATTAATTCCTAAGTTATCCTTAAGGGCAGGTCTTCATGCACACACGTTCAATGAAGCAGAGAAGCAGCACCTCAATTTAATCATAAAAATCACTGTGTGACTTGCTTCATCAAGTCATTTGACTATAAATGCACCTACAACAACTTGCGGTTATAGCATCCTTCAGGCAATAGTGTCTCAGAATGCTTAACAATTGCGAGTTAAGTTCGGCTTAATGCCGAGCCTGAAAGGGGAGGGGAGGGTTACCAAAGGTATGGCCAAAAAGGAATCTCTAGGTATAATTTGAAGACAGGCAAAGAGGGAGCAAGACAGGAGAATTGAGGCAAGAAGTTCCAGAGATTTGGGGCATAGTGGCTGAAAGTATGGCCACCAAGTGTGGAGCAGAGGGTACAAGGGAGATGCAGAAACCCAAGCCAGCTGAATGAAGGTGGCAGGTAGAGGACTGGGGTGTGAGCAGATTGGAGAGGTAGGAAGATGCCAGCATGTGAATTGATTTGAAAGAAATAATGAAGATCTTGAAAATCGATCCATTCTGCAAAAGGAATCCAGTGGCAAGAACTGTGGGAATAGTGGTGGACCTGTTATGGGTGAGGATAAAGGCAGCAGAATTTTAAATCATTTGGATCTTGTGAATAGTGGAGATGCGGAGACTGGCGAGGAGCACATGGGAAAAACTGAGGAGAGATATGATGAAAGCATGAATGAGAGTTTTAACAGCATTTGAAGTAAAATGGGGCGACGGTAAGTGATGGTGCAGAGGTGAATGAAGGTAGTCCTGGTTATGGACTGTATGTGGGGTAGGATAACTGGAGATCAAACCTTATGCCAAGGTTGGTACAGGTTTGGTGAGTCTGAGGGACAGACAGGGAAGGTTAAGGAGTGCCTCCTACAAACTTAAGGTTAAGGAGTTCAGAACTGCAGGTGAGGAGACGTTGACAGGAGCCAAGGAGAATGGTTTCCATCTTGTCCATACTGAACTGCAGATAGTTGGTGCTCATCCAGGCCTTCATGTTAGACAAGCATGTAGTCAGAGCATCGATAGGACTGGGATTATGCACTAGGAAAGTTTTGCCAAAAACGTTCTCCTGAAGACAATGCTTCATTGCTCCTTCAGCAATAAATCTCCAATTTCATCCTTCTCTTATGAAGTCGCTGAATCTGCCACAGTTCCATGGGCACCAACTACCCTCTAGTATATCGTCAAGTGGCCATTCTCCATGTGTGAACCTATATAGCGAGTGCTAGTATGCTATTTTACCATGGGGTTATGTGAGTTTATGTCACAGCCAAACTACCCAGTTCTCATTTGACAACCACAAAACATACACTTGTCAACAAGGATCATTGGATATCAATCAGAGTGGAACCAGGACAGATCTTCCCCTCCCTAGCTTAGTGATGCTGAGGGCAATTAGAGTATCCCAACTACTGCTCCAGGTAAGAGCAATCAGAATTATTCTTTGCTTTGAGGAAAAAAAGAAAAATCATACACAATTCACAAGAACTGTTACTTTTAAATTGGAAACATGCTTGGCTCAGGATTTCTACAAACACTTGATAAAAACTGACAACCTGTAAATCAATGCACTGCTGTTCAGTGAATTTCCCTTGCAATTAAATCACTCTGAACAGGAAGCACAGCATAGCACTGATTAGGTGGCTGAAGTGTGCTGCCACCTCCGGGTAAATCTGGTTGTGAACTGAGAGGATTCAGTGCACTAAGTATTGGCTGCCAGCTCATCAGGAATCAGTTTATGTCTGAGTGAGGAGTTTCCATGCAAGTGTTATGTTTGGATCAGAGTTATGCTGGAATCAGGATTTCTGTACAATGCTCTGTTTATGTCAGTTCAACAGTGCTTAGATGTGTGCAAATTAGGTACATTTTTGTGAGTTTAGCCTGTTTAACTTTAAGGTCGATGTTTATTGCTCAGATGATTTTTCAATAAATAAGTATCAACAAATCTGCGATGTATTAATATTTCTAATGTTTTGGGATATTTCCCAACCATTGTTTGTAAAGAGGAAACCCGAGTAACGTTACAATAGTTTCTTAAAGACGAATATAGAAATTTCATATGCAATGGCAAAAATTTCATAAATTCTACTGACAGGAGATATTCCAGGTTCAAATCCCAGTCTGTGTTGAGTTAGCTGTTCTCAGTAGTGGAGTAGTCAAGATTATGCAATTGGCCTCAACACCCTCGGGTTAAGAAGGGCCTAATCGGTCAGAGTTCTCTATCCTGACCGAAAGTGTGTATGCGACACTGAGTAAAGATAGAGTCCTGCTTGACTATCATTCTTCCTTTCCTCCCCGGAATGGTCGAGTTGCCTGTTGAAACATGCTATGTGAGTTCACACATAAAGAATAGTCACTGGAATCAGGTATTGGAGTGCAGCCAGTATCATAGGAACAATCCCACAGGAAAAGTCAGCACCTTCAAAAGAGGAAGGCAGTAAATTGTGGCATTTTTTTGGATGGAAAAAAATATTGTCCTGGAAGACTGATTGTTATATCCTAACAATTACCAAGGCACACATGCATTTACCATTATCTCCTGAAGGACTGCTCAACAAATAGAATTTGTGAATAAATTTGTGGTTAAAATACCCTTTACCACCACATTGAAAAGTTGAGGGAATCTGGTGAAAATCTACTAGAATAATGCAACTTTCAAACATCAATACACTTCATGGAAGTCTAAACAGAGAGAGAAACTGAATGAGATGTGGTGAAAGTCTGTCCTTGAATTGGCTGTGGAATGAATAGTATCTAAAATTAAACTGAAAACTATATACTGGATCATTTGTAGGGAGGGGAGAGTTGGTAAGTGAATAAATCAAATTAAGAATCCATTGCTGCTTAAATGCTTCTTTCTTATTGAAATTGTTCCCTTGCTGAATGATTAGGTTGATGGGAAGAAAAAGATTAATTTAAAATGCAATAGGGTCTGATGATGCTATGAAGGCAGCACATGAAATACAAGTCCTGCAGTTCTCTGGTGTTGCTTCTATTAACAGTTTTGACGGTACAAAACTAGCAAGGCTAGCAGAACTGAACCGTTCCAGTGATTCCCAACTTTAAAACATTGGTCCACCATCGGATGTAGCTAAAGAATTCATCTGAAGAAAATATTCAACTGTCCTTTTGATTCCAGACAGTAACTCGCTTACACACAAACACATGCAAGTGATCCACACATGAGCACATGCATACGTTGCACATGTACATACATGTGATATAAACGAAGGTACACACATGTACGTATTTGTGCATGTGAAAACTTGGAGAAACATGTGCGTATATTCACACACACACAAACACACACAGACGCACAACTGGGCTCTCTTACCTGCTCCGAATTATCTCTGATTGCTGACGTGCGATTGGAGACCTATTATGGTGCGGCCTTTCGTCAGGGAAACTAATCCGCCGCTTGCTGCTCGATGGTGGGTGGCTGAAAGTGTGAGCCCGTCTCCGGAACTGAGGCGACTTGGACTCTTCCTCTGCAAACGGATGGCCCAGCGAAGAGATGGGAGAAGCCCGTGGACTAACTGGTGGAGTGGCTGGAGGGGAGTCCCCTGGCGAGCCGTCCTGCACATGAATCACCGCAAGAAGAAACAATGACACTGCTCGCTTTCAAACCAGAAGTCCTGCAAATCTGTCAACATACTCCTTGACATCTATTGTAAGCTAATTTGTCCTATCCCACTAACTCCCATATCCTGTTGTTCTTTATCCAGTGAAGATTTCAGAATGTAGCTGCGCTGTGCTGATAAGTAAGTTAACTACCCAGCTTTTCAGAATGTGCTCAAGGGACAGGCTTAAAAAGTGCACCTTTCAGCTTTCTTTTGTTGGTGTAAATGACATTCAGTCTCATGAAAGCAATCCTCAAAAGTTGGAACTGCTTTCACAAGCACTTCCTCTTGATCATAACAGCTGACTTCCTGTGCTGTGAAAAATACCCGATCAAAACAACTCATTATTTGAAAGTATCATTGTTCAACTTTATTAGGAAGCTCTAGGTGACAAGAGTAATGTAGACGTTGTTGATGCTGGGAACTTACCCTGGATGCATCAGATGTCAGGCTGTTAGAACGTTCAAAGCTGTCTATGCTTCCCAGCCGGCCACGCATCTTGGCACCCTTAAGGTAATGGAAACGTAAATGAATGAATAGGATAATACAATAATAATAATCCTTACATTTGATATATCATCTTTCACGTAGGGAGGGCATCTCAAAGTGCTTCAAAAGATATACTGTAAAGTGCAGCCAGTGTGTATTTGTGGAGGTGAACGCAGATAATAGTTAGACATCATTGTTTGTTCTCATTCTGCAGTACAAATGATGTCTGCGAAGGTGAATGACGATATTGTCGGGTGTTTGTAAACAGAAAGTTTTCCCAACAGCTAGTGGAAAATGCCTTCAATGCAATATGATACGTAAACTATTTAGAACTAATATTTTACAATTAATTTTTGAAAGTTAGGCCAATTGTTGGCCTTTGCAATTGTGGTAAAATATATGAATAAGTTGAATCTTATCACAGACACAAAACCACCAAATACAAAGAGTTTCCAGTGACACCGTGTCCTTCCCTATCAACATCAATAAGCTAGGAAAAGTAGTAAACAGTGAGGAGGATAGTAGCAGACTGCAAGAGGACATAGACAGACTGGTAAAATGGGCAGCCACGTGGCAGATGAAGTTTAATGTGGAGAAATGTGAAGTGATGGATTTTGGGAGGAAGAATGAGGAGAGGCAATATAAGCTGATGGTAGAATCTTAAAGGGGGTGAAGGAACAGGGAGACCTGGGGGTTCACATAATCAAATCTTTGAAGGCGGCAGGACAGGTAGATAAAGCGGATAAAAAAAGCATCCGAGATACTAGGCTTTAGCTTTCACTAAGCCAGTCAGGAACCTGGGTTTCTTGTTCGACCCTGAACTGTCCTTTCTCCCCCACATCCGCACGACCGGCACTGCCTACCACCACCTCCACAACATGGCCAGACTCCGCCACTGCCTCAACCCTCAGGCTGTCGAAACCCTCACCCATGTATTCGTCACATCAGGACTCGACTACGGGAACTCCCTCTTTATCGGCCTTCCCAACTCTTCCCTTCACAAGCTGCAGATCATCCAAAACTCTGCAGCTCGTGTACTCTTGCACACCAGACACTCCCACCCTCGCCCAACTCCACTGGCTCCCAATCTCCCAGAGGATCGAATTCAAGATCATCATCCTCACTTTCAAGGCCATCCATGGCCTTGTCCCCTCCTACCTCTCTGACCTGAGGACTCCCTACCAACCTGCCCGCTCCCTCCGTGCAGCGGGCTCCAGTCTGCTCCATGTCTCCCGCCCGATCCCCCCCTACCATCGGTGGCCAAGCTTTCAGCCTCTCTGCCCCTACACTCTGAAACTCCATCCCACGGTCCCTTCACCTCGTTTTCTCCCTTGCCTACTTCAAGGCCGGTCTCAAGACCCTTCTCTTCGATCGTGCCTTCAGTTGCTCTTCCACCTCTCTGCCTTCCCTCACCCCTACACCACCCCTCCCCCATGCTCAGGCCCCGACACCTGACTGTTCAGCGCTTTGGGACGTCCGCCTGATGTGAAAGACGTTCTATTAAAAAAAAGGTGCGTTTTGCCCACAAATATACAGTCAATTCACTTTACAGTATATTCTGTGAAACGCTTTGAGACATCTAGAAGACGTGAAAAGCGCTATGTCAAATGCAAGAATTATTATTGTTATATATGTAATTTTGTTGTTGTTTATAAAAAGGGGCATAGAATATAAAAGTCAGGAAGTTATGATGAACCTTTACAAAACATTGGTTAGGCCTCAGCTGTATTCAGTTCTGTGCACCGCACTTTCGGAAGGATGTCAAGGCATTGGAGAGGGTGCAGAGGAGATTTACCAGGATGGTACCAGGAATGAGGGACATCAGTTATCAGAAGAGGTTAGAGAAGCTAGGATTATTCTCCTTGGAGAAGAGAAAGTTAAGAGGAGACTTAATAGAAGTTTTCAAAATTATGAGGGGATTCGATAGGGTGAACAAGGAGAAACTATTTCCACTGGGAGGTGGGTTGGTGACCTGAGGACACCGATTTAAAATAGTTGTTAAAAGAAACAGAGGAGAGGTGAGGAAACATTTTTTCACACAGAGAGTTGTTCAGATTTGGAAAGCATTGCCTGAAAAGAGTTGTGGAAGCCAATTCGATAACAACTTTTAAGAGAGAAGCAGATAATTATTTGGGGAGGACAAGTTTTCAGGGACAGGGGAGAGAGTGGGGGAGTGGGATTGATTTGGGTAGCTCTTTTCAAAGAGCTGGCACAAACACGATGGCTGAATGGCCTCCTTCTGTGCTGTATAATTCTATGATTCTACGATCTGAGCAAAAGCAAAGGCAAAGATTAAATCAATTTAATTTTTGGGGGGTTAGCCAGGTGTCTGATACATGCAGAAACCTATCACCATGCTTAAGGGTATCCAGAGCAAACAATGTCATACATCCTACCTACACATAGAAATTCTTGTTTTTTTGAATTAAATGCCCACTCTCTCCCTGGAGGGATGCATCCTGCTTATGGAATTTCAGAGAGTATTAGGTTGGCTAAAGCTAAGTCTTGGGGACCCCAGAGTGTGCGTTGGGGTGCTGCTGGAGTTTAACCACCTAAAACCACTCAATTTGCCATTAAAAGCACTACCTGCCAACCTTTTCTACTGTTTTTTCCAGCTAGGACCACTTTACCCATTAGGGTTTGGTCTTACAGGGATAAAGGGGCTGAGTTTTAATCTCAAAAGTGGATAGTAGTTAGTTGGTCGATTAAATACAATGTAATATTGCACTTTGAATGAATGAGAAATACTGACTGGGGCTGTTCCAACAACAATAAACCCTGAAGGAGAGCAACTGCAACACTGATATATTAAACTACCAGCATATTTTTTTCAACGTGCACCTAAGAATATGTGTGCAACTCTGGAGCCAGTTGACCATTGGGCTGATTTAAAAGAACAGATCAATGTCAGTAAAAAAGAATGGCGTAAAACCAGGAACTTTCCAATATCAAAACAATTCCAATTAACCTCTCCTCTCTACTATATTTATTTTCAGCTCAAATTAGAATCATATATCGATGTGACCACAGAACTAGAAGCAAGAGTGCAACACTGGCAGAATTTTCTTCCTTGAACAATAATGCTTGCATTTGATATCGCACATTCAATGTAGTGAGGACCAACCTCAAAGTGCTTCAAAGTGTAGTGACTGTACAATTTGTGGGTCAAGATGGCAGAAAATCTGTGCATGGCAATGTCACAAATAGCCATGAAGTGAATGACCAATTTTATCTGGTGAATTGCTGGCTACTGGAAGAAACTTTTATTTATCGAACAGTACCATGGGATTCTTAACGTTAGACAGGATTTCAATGTAATGTCTCATCCGAAGGACAGCACCTCCAACAACACATTGCACCTCCAGTAGAGCATTAGATTGTCAGCATAGACAATACGAGTCATATCCAGAGGGATATAATCTAACAGTGAGGAGGTGATGTTGAATTTATACAAAACCTTGGCTAGAACACATTTATATTATTGTGTCCAATTCTGGTTTCCACAATATAAGGATCGAAAGAGTATAGTGTAGGTTTATGAGGATGATACCAAGTCTGCCATCAGGATAGACTGGACAGGCTGGGGGGGGGGGGGGGGTTTCGCGAGGGAAGAGACGTTTAAGGGGGGAATCTAATAGAAGTGTTTAAAATTATGAATAGTTTAATACGGTTAATTAGACTGTTTCCACTGACTGAAGAGTCTGTAACCAGGGACACAAATATAAGATAGCGACTAGGAGAATTTTCTTCCTTAAAAAAGGAGATAGCAACGAAAAGAGAATTTAGAATGAACTACTTCATGCAGAGGGTAGTGCGATTGTGGAACTCACTGCCTGAAGTGGTTGTGAAATTAAATAGCATAGATGCATTCAAGAGTAAGCTATACCTTCACATGAGAGAGGGGAATAGAAAGGTAAGAGATGGAGTAAGGAATGGGTGGAGACATGCGTGGAGTAAAAAACACCAACTCAAACTTGATTGCTATTCAGTAAAGAAAAAGTAAATATGTAGAAACGTTTCTGCAACAAAAGCAGTTAACACTGCAGTGTTTAACTTCTTTAAGACAAAGTTAGACAAATATCTGTTCAAGAACTAGATTTATGGGTGATAACAATGTTTACAGGAAGGTGATCAAATAAAGTACAAAAAAACAACGGTCCATTTGTTGGATGAGTCAGTGGTGGACTAAAACTAGTCAGTGGCTTGATAACTGAACCAATATTGTGGACTTTTGCTTGGTTATCTGTGGGCGTGTGTGTGTGTGTGTGTGTGGCAATCTCACACAGCCTTAGCTTGAAAATCTATTTAATAATGATAAATAATTCTTAAATTTGAGATGTCTTTCAGTTTAGAAGGACATCACAAAGCGCTTCACAGGATATACTGTAATATATAGTGACTGTGTACTTTTGTCGGCTTCCAACTATTTTTATTTGGGCGATTGTTTTCAAACAGTGACATGGAATCTTTAATGTTACCTGAATAGGTAAACAGGACTTTAGTTTGAAATTTCATACGAAGGACACCTTCAACAATTTAGTACACTCACAGCACTGCACTGGAATGTCAGTCCCTAGACCCTAAATTCAAAATCCTAACATAGAGCTTGAATCTTTTGACTCAGTGGTGAGAGTGCTACCAGAAAGAGTGTTGAGGCTAAGATGTTGGATTTATTTAAATAAGCAGCTTAACATTTTAATAGGAGGATGGTAGGGGATATGCTGGAAGAAAGGGATCAAATGGGCAGGAGGGCCTTCCTCCTCAAAATCAATTGTGGGATTATCTAACCCAGTGTCGAATTCCATTTGATTGCTCTGATTAAAAGGAAAATCATATTGAATAGTGTTCGTGCATGATCTGATTCTGCCCCAGTCTTATTAAATCTATAAAGAATAGTAAAACAGAGAAGCTAAAAGAAGAAGTATAGTACACTGGTTCTCTTCAGTCAACAACAGCTTGTGAACAGGAAACGAAAAGCTGCTCGGAGGATTGGAATACACATACAGGTTACTACATCCTGAATATCTTAATATATTATTATCTAATGTTTTAGATCCCCTTTGAGAAAATATTGATCTACTGTATCCCACAAGCCTTTATTTTACAGACGCCATCTGCTATTTCAGTGCAATAATGCGAGTACAATGGATGCTTGTTGAATCCATCAGCCGAATGTTTTATTCTGTGGCACAATGCACCACTTCAAGTCAACAGATTGGATAGTAGTCAGAGCTTTACCCCCCCAAAATATTGCACACATCTGCACTCTCAATTGTCTACCTTCCTTGCCCCTCACCACATTGTCTACCCACAAAATGCATAATCATACCACTTTACAGTATATCCTGTGAAGCACTTTGAGATGTATCAATAATAATAATAATAATAATCCTTGCGTTTGATATAGCGCTTTTCACGTCGGGCGGACGTCCCAAAGCGCCTCACAGAACACACTGTAAAGTGAATTGACTGTATGTTTGTGGGCGAACGCGGCAGCCAATTGCGCACAGCAATGTTCCACAAACAGTCGTAGATTGAAAATGACCAATTTCTTATTGTTTTTGGTTTTTGGAGGGATTATTATTAGGCTCTGTGTGGAGTAAGGAAACTTGCCCAAGGTGTCGCCCTGCCTGGAATTGAACTCAGGTCTCTCACTTGCAAAGCGAGTGCTCTAACCACTGAGCTACAGGACTCGTTATTACATCTTATCACACTCAATGGTGTGATAAGATGTAATAACGAATGTAAGGATTATCATCCTATCCAATCATAAATCCTCCTAAGGGTCACTAAACAAAATTATTCTTTCCATGTTGTAGACTTGCATAGCTTTGTCGCTCAAAAGCGCAAGGTATTTCCTACAAATTGGCACTGTTTTTCCCCCTAATTCCATCCAAATGCGTGTGAGCCGGATGTTATAGTGAGGTGAATGGGGAAGTTTTCGGAGTCTCTACCCACTAATCACTATTCTCTTCTCAATGACTCTGATTCTGGGAGATGATCATTGCCATGTTGTTAAAATCTATGCCTTAATACCAATTCATTAGAATGGATAACTACTATAATCTACAAGCAAACATGAATTGAACATCAAATGCTCACTTGCTGAGACTGGCAAAGTGAAGCATTTACCTGAATGAGCTATGTTGATGGTATGTGCAAGGGCAATAGATGGCAACAGTACAAAAACACAGAAAATAGTACTTTGTGCTTGCTCCACTAATGATTCATTCAGTGCAATGGGCAGCCAAATGAGTAAGTGGTGACTAATTTGTTCTTAAAGATCAGATTTCAAACCATGATATTAAGATCTTGTGTGCAATGTGATAAAAAGAAAGCTCTCCCTACTCTAAAACTGTGATATTTCAATGTTGTTTCAAAAAATATAAATTTATTTAAGGAATCTTATCTAATCAAATGCAAGAGCTAATATTTCACTTCATAACATTTAACTAGATCTGTTTTCTGTGTGATGTGATGATTTTTAACACAGTAAATTCCCGTTCTCTCCTGCAAAAAAAGTAGACATTTAATATTTTGTATTAACACAAGAATGAAAATCAAACCCTGAGTTTCTATTAACAGTGTCATCCATTAAATTGGGGATGGGAACTGCAACCAATGTCTACTCCAGAGGCATATTTCACTGACCTTAAGTACATTTATCAACATTAGAATTCTTAAATTTGATGTAGCATCTTATCACGTTGTCAAGACTTCTCAAAGAATCTCACAGGACTCATTGTAGAATGCAGAAACTGTGAATTTTGTAAGCAAATTCAGCAACCAATTTGTGCACAGCAATGTCTCAAAGAAAGCCATGAAGTGAATCACCAATTTTATTACTGCGATCGTTGACCATGACACTGGGAGAAATTCCTTTCTCTTTTCGAATAGAGCCATGAGATCTTTATCATCAATCCGAACAGGAAGACAGGACTTCAGTTTAGCTTCTCACCTGAAATATGGTTCCTCTGACAATATAATGCTTCCCTCGCACTGCATTGGAATGTCAGCCAAAACATCTGAGCTCAAAGTCAAGACAAGGGGCTTAAACCTATAACCTTCTTACTCAGAAGGGAGAATGCTACCAACTGGCACATTGATAGTCGAGCATGCCCAATTCTCAACTGATCAGCAAAACAAGCGCTTCTACTCATCACACAGATCACTACACTGAACTGCAGCAAAGCAATGATCAGAGAATCCCTCCCCGATATTCCAAAAGCTTTTCTTCAATAGAACAATACCGTAAATATTAAGCAAGGATCAGTCAGTGACACGCTATTCTGCTCGATATTAACCCATGCACTACTTTTAATCAAACAGCCTTATCCACTTTCATGCAGTTCCATTCATTTGCATTATCAACTACAACAACAACTTGCATTTATGTGGGGTAGCGTCTCAGAGCGCTTGATGGTCAGCAGCACATCTGATGTAAATAAGATATTTATTGATGTAAATATCTTTGTAATAACATTTCTCCTTTTTTTAAGACTTCCTTACCTAAAAGGTGAAAAACAGTATTAAAATTAGTGCGAGTGTCAAATGTTATTGGATTTAACTTATCTGACACATGCTCGTCAAGTAGAAAGGTTTCCTTTGCCCTTGCTTTATCAAACAAAGCAGACAGATTTTTGAGCAAATCATTTTGAGGTAAATACAATATGTATTAAAATGTAGAACACATTTAAAATTTAGTTTAGAATGTAGATTTGTTTCAGGCTGGCTGCACCACAGAATTGTAACCAATCACCATTTCTTCAACAATTGAAACAAGACTTAGATGAACAATTATTATTAATAGTAAAAATAATAATAAAGCTAGATGTTGATTCCAATCACATCAAGGATGTTATTTCCATCTAGCTTTATTTTTAGTGTGACTGAACTCTCTGCCACAATCCCTCCTCCTTCCACCCTCCGTCCCCATTTTCATATCAAGGCTGAAGAATTTCTTCTTCCACCATGCTTACAGTGACCTCCCCCCTCCACAGCGTCAGGCTAAGCCACTGTTAAGCGCTCTGAGACGCTATCCCGAGTGAAGGCCACTGTATAAATGCAAATTGTTGTTAATATTATCACTAGGGCTGAGGGCAAGGCACAATACCCGTACTTTTAAGACCTCATCAACAATGCTCATTTAATTTTTTTTCTTTATGATTAACTGTGACCTCCTCCAGTATTGGTGCTTCAGAGCAAAGGAGGTGCTGGTTTATCCAATGCTCTTAACTCTCCACCTCGTACTGCACATTGGTACTTAGAACACTGTAATACATGGTAGATCTGATTGACAGTTGGCACATCATGGCGATATAATAATAGATCTTTAATATTAGCTGACACCAAATGATTATTGCTGCCTCGAAAGGAGTCATTCAATGTAGCTTTAACATTCTGTAAAACAGAAGACGCCCCTTTTCTCTATTCCTTCCACCTCCTCCATAAAACAAGCCAGTACCATCTCCACTCCATTCTTACCCGTGAGAAGATATTTTCCAGGGAGGTGGTTAAGGATTTCCTCGCCTTGTTTTTCAGAACATCGAGTTTGAACCTGCCTGTGCTTGCCGAGTGCTCTGGGATCATGCTGTTTGGTACATTCTGAGAAAAAGCAAAACAGAGTTACGTAGCTGAGACCAGAAAGAATCAGATTGTGAACAAATCCACTCAGCCATGCAACCCAGGTAAAATCAAGTTTGAACAGAGAACACCCCATTACATCCCTGAACCAACGAAAGATCTTATGTCAATCAATTGGCTGCCGCTTTTGCCCACAGAATACAGTCAATCCACTTTACAATATAATTCTGTGAAGCACTTTGAGACGTCTCAACGCTGTGATATATCAAATGCAAGGATTATTATTACTAACAATCTTTTTCTCTTAGATGCCAATTAATCTGTGTAGTTCCACTTTTTTTTTGAGGTGGGTGGGGGGACAGAACCTGCAGTTTCTACTCAATCTGAATTTCAAAATTGCCCTTTCTATTAGTAGATATACGTGAACTCAGGGTGCACACTCGCTGGACCGCAAGGACCAAGGATGTTGAACTATGTCATCCTCAAGAGCAAAGATTATTCAACCAGTGATCTGACCTCACCTTCCACAATATGAAGCATAATATATAAAGTTCATTACTCAGTGTTAAGTCACAGCAAAAATGTATCTCAGGGTGCTGATGCTTTTGATGTCTGTTCCTTTATCAACAATGATTGATTGTTTTAAGTCCCCCTTTATTAATCCCACTCCTCAGCTATTTCCCCCAAACCCTCAGTATATTACAATGCTGGGGGTTATTCGGCTCCTTTCTAAATTATTCTACTGACATTGTCTCAATAGCTATTTGTGGTAATGAATTTCACACCCACAAGTTCCAAAAATCCTCAGAATGAACAAATTCCTTCATTTGTGCTAAAATTCCTGAGACTGTGCCCCCACTGATTTCTCCAACTAAATGAAATAGTTCTTCTCTATTTAACTTCTCGTGACCCTTTGTAAATTTCACGCTGAAACCCCTACTTGCCACCAGTTTGATTTACGCTGTATATTTGAGTCCTTAACCTTCCATTTCTCTCCATGTGACAGGCAACATCTCTGCCACAGATAAGATTCAGATGGGGGGTGGGAGAAAAGGCTTTCCCAGAGCTAAAACACTGCTCTTCGGAGCTATGAATGGTTGCTCTGCCCTCCCCACGTATACACAAACCATGTGGCAAAATACTCTTGGATCACAGATCACAGATGAGTTTGCTCACCAACATATAACACTACTAATACTGAATACCTTTCTTTTTTTAAAAAAAAAGTTCTCACTCCTATTACCAAATCAAGTGGACCAAGAGGAATGGGAAACATTTTCAACTAATATTAAAGTTTGGAATAGATGTGATAATGCAGATAAAACAAACTGGTCAATTAATGTTGAAATGTAGGACAGAAAATAGAAGAGGTGATAGAATAGGAGGAGAAAAAAGGATGACAGGCCAAGCAGAATTAAAATGCTTTTGACCCTCCTCTTCAACCATGCTTTCGATCGCTCTGCTTCCCCCCTGCCCTCCATCCTCCCTGACCCCCAGCCCGGGTCTGAAACTCTGTCTGTCCAGCGCCTTGGGACGTGCTCCCGACGTGAAAGGCTCTATACAAATGCAATTTTGTTGTTGTTGTAAAAAGTGTTTCAAAGCACTGAAAGGAATGAAGCCTGAACAAGACAAGCACGACCCATAGACCCATGTGAATTATGAAGGTCGGGTCACACATTTGACTATTTTTTTTAAGTCTGCAATTGGCCCTGGAGGAACACTTTGGTAGTTGCCAAGATTCTGTTCATAACTTCAGTGGAGTTTTGATATATATTCATATTTAATTTTTGGCAGTAGGGCTGTTATTCTTTCCATCCAGAAGGTGACATGGTTTCTGACTTTTTATGGTGATGATCACATTGTACAGACTCATTTCAATTAAGAAGAACAAAGAAAACACGGATAAAGAAAAGACCATTTGGATCGTCAAGCCCTGAAAACTAAGCCTATTATGACCTTCACTCCACTCATTTGCATCAGTATAGAGTCCTGGAACCCACAAACAAAACCTGTGGTATACTCAGCCACACAGACAATCTGCACTATCCAACCTCGACTGCTTCCCTCTACAAACAAATTTAAAGTCATTTTGGCTGGAGTAGAATAATTCTTAATGTTTTGCAGCACGCATTTGTAAGAACTTGAAACATAAAGACAACAATAATCAGCAACGACAATTATAGCTAAAAATAATCAGAACAACAATTAAAATAGGAAGAAAATAGTAAAAGGAATAAAGTTACACTGAAAAAGGGCAGAGAGAGAATAGAGAAGTAAATAAGAGGAAAGTGACAGGATGATGGGCAAAGATAATGTCTATTATTTATTCTGGATATTTGAGTAGCTGTAACACTCTAATGTTAGTATTTTTCTTGGTGTCCTAGTTTGCGTGCTGAAAATGTACATAACTGTCCAATGTTCACTGAGACAACAGTTACTCTGCAGACCTGCTAGAAATCTAAGGGTTATAGTAATGGTATTTTTTTTTAAACTGAGCCTATAAACCTAACCTCATCCCTCCAGTAGGCAAGTTTGTTAAAAATGCTTTTTAAAAAAAACCAGCCCCCTCAGCTCCTACCAGGTCCCTCATCCTACATTACTTTGCCCCCATCTCTCCTTCCTCCCTCGCATCCTCCATCACCCTGATGAAACCCACCACCGGCTGCCTCGACCCCCTCCCCACCCAGCTGCTGATCACCCAGCTCCCCATCCTCTGCCCACTGCTGCAGACATCATTAATCAGTCCCTGTCCTCAGGATCAGTCCCACGACCCATCAAAACCTCCATCATCAGCCCCTCCTCAAAAAACTTACCCTCGACCCCTCCAACCTCGACCATTACCACCCTATCTCAAACCTGACCTTCCTATCCGAAGCTTTGGAATGCATTGTTGCCAACCAACTTTGGGCACACCTCTCCCTCCACTCCCTACTAGAAACCCTCCAGTCTGGTTTCCACCCTGCCCACAGTATAGATACAGCACTCATGATCATCACAAACGATGTCCTCTCTCTGTGACCAAGGCTCCTTCTGCCTCCTCCTCCTCCTGGACCTCTCCACCGGGTTCGACAGTCAATCACGCCATCCTCCTCCACTGCCAGCACTACATTTCCATAAATGGTTTTCCTTCTCACCAACCGGTCACCTGCGGGGTACCGCAAGACCCCATCCTTGGCCTCCTTCCCTTCCTCATCTATATGCTCCCTCTCGGTGCTGTCATCCACAGACACGGGTTAACCTCCAGATGCATGTTGATGACACTCAACTCTATTTTTCCTCCTGCAGCTGCGACCCCCAGTCCTCTGATGTTCTGTCAGCTTGTCTGACACACATCAAGGCCTGGATGAGTGCAAATTTCTTGCAGTTAAACATCAACAAGACAGAAGCCATACTCTTTGCTCCCGTCGACGTCTTCTGCCTGCAATTCAGACCTCCTCAACCTACCCAATCTGACCTTAAAACTCTCTGAACCCGTGCGCAACGGCGTCAGATTCGATCCCCAGTTATCCTTCCTCCCTCACATCCGGTCTCTGACCAGGACCACCTTCCTCCACCTCCACCACATTGCCCATGTCTGACAACACCTCACTCCACAAGCTGCCAAAACCCTTGTCCACGCCTTCGTCACCTCTTGGCTGAACTACTCAAACGCCCTCCTCCCCCTGGATTGGCATCGGGCTCCACCATTGTTAAGCGCTCTGGGACGCCGCTTGCCGGGGAGAGCCCTATATAAATGTAAGTGAAGATTGTTGTAATTTGTTGACGTTTGTTGTTGTTGTAAAGCGTTATTTTTATTCATTATAGAGGGAAAAAAGGGGAGAGTAAACTGAATTCCAGAATGTCTTGGCCTGGCATTGGCATCTCGCACAGGGAACCCATCAATATGGATTGAATTGCACAAACTCTGCTTCAGCGCAATTTGGTTTCAGAGTAGAGTTCTCGCAAGTCAATGGACCCTCCATGATGTTTCTGTACAGGGCACATCCCATAGTACTTTCCCTGATACTTGTACTATTTACCCTGTGGTTCAAGCGTTTTTNCAACCCCACTTCCCATTGTTTCAGACTCTAACACAGAAAGTCCAGAGAATGTAAAGATGTAAAGAGAAGAACAATACCACAGGAGTTTCTCCGAGGTGCATGTGGGTTTTCTGTTTGGTCTCACATATCTGTCTCAACATAAGAATCACCAGTTCATTCTCATCTTGGTCGTCAGTTGGCTTCATTTTCTGTGAAGACAATTCATCAATATTTACCATCAGAGACCCAGAAATCTTTCAAGAAATGGGTACTTGTTGGAAATGTTTTTAATCATACTAAATATTCTGTATTGTAAGCTATTTAATTTTGAATGACTGGACTGTTGTCACTTGAAAGCATTTCTGTTATTCTCATTGTGATACTAGAAGGGAAAATTAATCTGGGACTTGATGTACAATTAAATTCTAATCAAGATTTGAACAGTGTAGATGGAAAGTAAATTGCCATTTAATAAGAAGCCTGAAACTAATATATTGGCAAACATCACTCTCATATTCCCATCACAATACAGATCAATCAAGTTAACTGTCAGTTCAATGAGACTGAGGTCGACCTTCAACAGATCAATGCGTTGGAATGGATAAATAGGTAAGGTTTGCACAGTGAGGTATAAAGCAACCTACCATAGGGTGACGAAAAAGCTCGACGCTTGACTCACAGTCAGGCACAACTCTGTCTGTTAAGGCATGAAGTGGCCCTGAGCTTCTAGTCAAGCTGTGTACAGAGTCAGCAGCTTGTTCTCTTGGGCTCCCAACTGAATGAGAGAGCTGCAATGGTCAGGAAACTCTTACAAAAATAAAAAGAGCCAAAAAACCACTGACTGAACCCTATGAAACCTGATACTTAAAGGGGACTAACTTCACGAAAATAATGCTGAAACCTATACCTGAACACGCTCGAAAATATCTGCTTGCTCATTGTCACTCAACAAGGAGAGCTGTCTCTGTATGACAAGTTTGGCTCTTGGTGGGTATAGACCTAGAACACACAATGGGGTAAATAGATAAGCATCAACAATGCACTAGTCATTCGTTTCAAATGTTGTAAAGAGACTGCTGTTATTTTGTTGGTCTCGATTACAACAATTTAAGTATTACAATACTTTAAGAATTCACAGCAACATCATTTACATCACCAGTCTTCTACTGTTAACCAAAGTTATGGTGAAACTACTGCCCTTTTTAGAATTGTTTCTAGGTGCACACTGGCACTGTTTTCTCCTATTACCATTTCTCTATAATACAACAGTGGTGTGAACATTGCAACATAATAGTAACTGTACTAAACTGGCATTAAAAAGCTCTCCATTCCAGGTTTCATGCTGGTCCACATCTGTGGTGTAAACACTAAAACTGCAGAAAAGCACTGCAATTATCTTGTTCACCTTTGACTTGTCCTATCACATAGCTGCCAATTTGAATGAGTTCTCAATTTTGCAGTGTATGTGTATGTGAGAATCATTATCAGAGTTGTGTGGAGAGCATTAAGGATGATCCGCAGGGTTTGGGAGATAAGTTATGAACAATGATTAGATAAGATGAGGCTCTTCAGCGTTGAGAGACATCTGCTGGGGACAGCCTCAATTGTCTAGTGCTAAAACTGCAACTTACAGACAAGAAACTCTGGTTTGAATCCCAGTCAATGCTGAGTTTGCAGGTCTCAGCCGGGGCTGAATTAGCCCCAGCCTTCCCTAGGTGAGGGAGGATAAACCCAAGCAAGGTTCCGTCCGACTTTTTGTCCATCTTCAGTATCCCCTATTGGTGGTAACTATGAGGGGAGAGATCAGGCTCAGCTGTGATGCCCCCTACAGGCAAATAGTCTGCCGACACTCACTGCCAAGCCTCACATGTGAACAATACCCACTTGGATGGGCTACTCAAGGGAAATCAGTGCCCATAGAGCTTCACTCAGGTTCAGGCAGACAAACCAGGAGCAAAGAGGCATAGAGCAGCGAGGAGAAAGTTTTTAAAAACAGCACACTCAATTTTTTTTCTACTTACCTTCAATCCTTTCACACAGTTTGTGTAAATAATGCATAGGACAGGCTTCACACAGTTTGACCTGAGTCTTAGCGTTCTGAAGGGCAGCAGCAGTGCTGAAGGCCTGTTTTAGAGTCAGCATGACTTCATCCACCTGTCAAGACAGAGAGTTCAAATGGATCAGACCCCAACCTGCTCCAAAGTTGCACCAGTTTTTGAAGGTGGGCTCAACATTGTCCTCTATGTAAAAAAAACTAACCAAATACAAAGAAATACACATAATATAAATTTACATTAATACAGCATTTTATATGTCGGGAGAGCATCCCAAAGTGCTTTGACACTGCTGATTGGGCACCCAAGTTGGGGTTGGGGGCCAAGAGGAGAAAGATGACCTAAGGTACGACAATGAGATATGTGATGAAAATAAAAATGTCATAAACTAGAAAATACTCTTGTTTTTCTTCTGCTTATGTGATCATTTCTTCAAATATTTGAATAAGTATAGATATCCATTATTGGAGCTAATACTGGGAAGCATTTATTGGAGCTAATACTGGGAAGCGTTACTGAGGTGTAACTGAGGTGTTAGGAAGCTATGTTTAATAAACACACTGTTGAAGTGGAAAACAAAAAACAAATGAAAGTGCTCCTCAAATGACTCAGCCAATGTATACAGTCAGTGGTTGAGCTAGACAGACTACAACACAGCAGGTTTGTTCTCTGGTCTATGCTGTCCTAACCGATCTGTCGGGGAGTCACTAAGGGAACAACAATTGACCTCAACAAACCAGGTTAGGCAGGAGACGAAATTAAATAGAGTATTGACCACTTATGGCTAATAAATAACTTTTGTTTGCATGTGAGTGTTGGGCGAGGGCAGCTCCGTATTCTTGAATGATCTGTAAACACTCACCATCAAGATTTGCAAATGAATAATGGCCACTTGGACCAAGATATTGGTATTGTACCACAATAGAAGAGAAAAAACACCTTAAGAGGAGAACAAATGATAAAAATTGGAGAAAAGAAAAACAAGATCTGAGCAGCAACTGAATATGCTTCAGAGCAACATTAATCTGATCACATGTGTTGTATCACCCAGCTCCTTCATGCAGGAATAAACAAATTATCATCTGAGATTTAAATCAGAACTTCTGGTCATATTTTTTGACCTCTGAAGACCACTACGACAATTATAGATGTCAATATACTGCACACAAACCACTGAGCAACATCACAAGTTATTCTTAAAATAAATTTTCATCAATTGACTGAGCACTGCAGTTCCTTTAAGAACAACAACAAAAAGATTACATTTGTATAGCGCCTTTCACGTCAGGAGGACGTCCCAAGTCCCATTAGTAAATGCTACCACATGGTAACTATGATGTGGATGGTTAATAACTTCTGACAGGGCACCTTCGACGTCACAAGTATAAAGGCATTACTGACAGGAGATTTTCTTTGGATGTTTGGAAACTCAAATTTGCTCCCACACTAAGGCACTTACCAGTGATTCACTGGCACACTGGAATACGTAGCACACATACTGATTTAATCCCGGTTCCACACATTCACGACAAATGAAGCCAAAATGGTCTACATGTTTTATACCCTGGGAAAATACAATAAAAAAAACACAATTATTAAGCTGCAAGTGAAGTAATCAATGCAAGAGAATATAAACCATTGACTTCAGATACACCCCATTGTTTGTACTTAATAATATTAATAATCTTTACCTTTGATATAGAGCTTTATCACATCTTCGAGACGTCTATCAAGTGAATTGACCATATATTTTGTGGGCGAAACGCGGCAGCCAATTGTGCACAGCAGTGTCCAATAAAAAGTCATGGACTGAAGTGACCAATTTATTATTTTTTTTGAAGGAATTATTACCGCTGGAAAAGCAATCGACCAATCGACTAACAACCAGGTTCCTACTTACTGCTGGATAAATAAAAGCATGTGGAGTAAGGAAACTTGCCCAACATTTCACCCTACCAGGAACTGAACCCAGGTCTCTCGCTTGCGAGGCGAGTGCTCTAACCACTGAGCTACAGAACTCCATGTATAAATATATAAACAAAGAAGAGCAGTACCAGTATATTCCATACTCCACGACACAAAATGATGAGTGGATACAGAAATATAATTTTGTCTAATGGATCAATAGATCACATTTTGCAGTGTCCGTCGTTGCAGGAATATGTACGTGTTAATCTAAAATCAACAATAATTTATTTAGAACTTGCATGTCAAGGGATTTTATTGTATTGAATATCAATAGTCTCACAAGGGAAACCTAAGAATAAAGAGATCCAGAGTCTAAAACAGTCCATAGACAGCATTTACTATTAAACCTGGCAGATTTATCAGCTCCATTAGCACTAATGACCATTAGATCTTCAATTATAACAAAGGCACACAAAGACCACAAACAGAGAAATACAAACATTTCAATAACATTTTATCTGATTCATTGTATTCAGTTTACATGGAATTCTGAACTTTTAAAATGTATCAGTTTATCTCTTCAATGTCCTTAGATAAAGCGACCACCTAGTGAACACACGTTAATAAAGATCAAGATGTTATAAATTGAATGCTGGTCTGTGCTGAGTTCGCTGATCTCGCTGAGTGAAGGTGTCGGATTTGGGGTTTGGATGCTACAACTGGATTCAGCATTCCTGGGTTCAGAAGATGAATACCCAGAATATGATTCCATTGACTGATCACTATCTAAAACCTCAGGCTAAAAGTGCATGAGAATAGGATGAGTCTTGATGAACTTAACCCTTACAGGTGCAAATCATACAATACGGCAGATAGGTACAAACCTGAGAACATGAGGAAATATTTTTGAAATTCTTTTCCAGTACAACTGTTTTGCTGTCGGGGCTGATGAGGTTAATTTCAAACCGTCCAATCTATAGATAAAGAATGCACAAATTATTTTCCCTGAAATGAAAACAAAAAGTGTCAACAATTTCTGCAAATATTAAGATGGCCGTCAGACATCAAGGCTTGTATAAACGCAAACTTTCCGCAGCTGAATGTTAACCAGATGGAAGCCACCTACTTGGCTCCTGTCAATGTCTTCTCGCCTGTAGCTCCAATCTCCTTAATCTCCCTGCCCTATCACTCAGGTATATTGAATCTGTGTGCAACCTAGGTGTCCTTCCTATCAGAACCTCTTTCCTCCACTCCACCACATTGCCCGCCTCCGATCAAATCTCACACCCACCGTAGGTGAAACCATTATCCATACATTTGTCAAGTCCTGCCTCAATTTTTCCAATGCCCTCCTCACCAGTCTCCAAGCTCCATTATTCATAATTCTAATTAATTCAAACCACCAGCCATATCTTCACCAGAATTAAACTCGGCACCCCCATCATCCCAGTCCATTGGCTTACTAATGCAGAACAGATCAATATCAAGATCCTCATATTCCAATACTAATGAGAATGGTAATCATGCCCTGGCACCTTCCTACTTACACCCCACTTCTCTATCCGCCACCTTCACTCAGCTAGCTCTGGCCTCCTGCATATCCTCTGCTCCACCATCAGTGGGCATGCCATTACGCCTCGAGACTCTGAAATTCTCTGCCATGCACAGAGTACAGAATACTCGGCAATGTAGAGTTTGAAGTGTGCAACAGAGGAACGCGAGTGTCAGTGCACAACAGAAATGTAAACAACTTTTAAACAAGACAATGTTCTAAATGAAAATCTTCAGGGAAATAGGTGCTGGCGGCATGGTTGTGCTGCAGTTTCACAAGGCTGTTGCACAGAGGAGTGGGGCACAGGTTCACAACCAAATATTTCCCAAATGGTTAGTTTTCCAAACATTGAACTGAGTCACTGTGTTGGGATTGCCAGGCACTTCTACATTGGGAGACAGAAAAGGAAATCAGAGAGACAGTCCTGACACTTTGGCCAGCAATTTCTGCTTTAAAGTTACAGTTGGTGGTTTACACAACCTCATAACCTTACAAAATATGTCCCATTTTATCCTTCCTGTTTGAAAGCATTTACCTTATATTCCATATCAACAATTCAAGAAGATAAAATTGACCATTTATGCTGCTCAAAGCTATCCTGAATATTTATTTTTAAACTGCACAGTAAAACTGTCAGCTGGAAGCTGGAAAACACGGGGTTGTCTCTGAATTGTGCCCAGCACACTAATAATAATAATAATCCTTGCATTTGATATAGCGCTTTTCACATCTTCTAGACGTCTCAAAGCGCTTCACAGAATAGACTGTAAAGTGAATTGACTGTATATTTGTGGGCGAAATGCAGCAGCCAATTACGCACAGCAGTGTCCTACAAAGTCCTGGATTGAAATGACCCATTTATCATTTTTTTTTGAGGGATTATTATCAGGCATGTGGAGTAAGGAAACTTGCCCAAGGTTTCACCCTGAAGGTAATCAAACCCAGGTCTCTCGCTTGCAAAGCGAGTGCTCTAACCACTGAGCTACAGGACTCCACAATTTGATGCACTATCAAGAGTAGGCTATGCTTCCTTTAATTCTCCTTGTGTTTATAATGTAATGTGCTTCTGATTATAGAATAGAACACACAGAAGGCTCGGTATGAACCCCTTTGATAAACTTGTGCCTTTCCACATTGAGTCACTGTCTTTCATATTGTTATTTCTGCTGCACATTTAATCCCCAATTAGCTGATCATAGCCAGACTGGTCACGGATTACAGTATTAAGGATTCTATGTCCTGATGTTGGAAAGTAGAAGTGTCAGGTTCAGAGTCTGACCCTGTCTCTCCTTTCCCCTCCTCCCCACTCATTGTTATCCAGTGGACTTGTTGGGAAGTACATGTGTGTTGTTGTTGTTCAGAGCACAAAACAGCCTTGATGTGACTACAGTTGAATGGCTATTCGACTGCTATCAGGAGTCAATTTGACTGAGTTGGCAGAATATTTGCCTTAGATTAGATTTAAAGGTTGTGAGTTGAAACCGCATGTCAAGATGTAAACTCATAGTTCAAACTGACCTTCTAGTTTGGCCTTGTGGTTAGCCTATCAGATGAGACATTAAACCAAGCATCAGTCTGTGTTTTCTCGAATAAATATTTATAGTCTTTCAAATCGGAAGGATGTCTCAAAGCACTTCACGCAGCTGACTATGAGCTGAAGTGCTCGTGGGAGGGGAGGTGGTGCTATTTGAAAAGAGAAGGAAGTTTCTCTAGGTATCAACAATCCTCCAGATTAAATGATTCCCCACGTCATGAGTTTTTGCTGGATCAAATACTTGTTCCACCGGGAAAAAGGATTGATTACTTGAAATAATTTGCCATTAATAATGTAAATTAGGAAGTTAATATTAAATTAATGTATAGGTAGTATAAACATGAAAACTCCTGTTTATATTTATATCCAAATTCACTAAAACAGATTAATTTTACTTCTGTTGCTGGGGATTTGCTCATGCAGTTTAACTGCCAAATTTGCTTGCACAGCAGTCACTACACTTTAAAGTAATTCAATGTGCAAGATTATTAGAGGTCTTCATACATGATTATGTGCTTTATCAAATGCGAGTGTTATACGATAGTTTAAGTGCAGGATAGCTTAGGTAAGTTAAAGAGGCATTGTCTCAAGTTCACTGGAAGTAAAACAACAGCCTGTGTGTTAGTTTTGTAGCAACAGTGATATTTTCATGCAGCAGCAACTCCTCTCAATATCATTTGCATTGTCACATTGACAAACACTAGATATTTTACAAACACATTTGCACAAAGCACTTTAAGAGAGCTGAACAATTAAAAGAACCAAAACATGACTTTTAAACTGGCTAGGTTTTACTAGATTCTAAGCAGTCTGCAAATGACAGATTAGCATTTATAAATGTAGGGCACATTAGCTGCTGTTTAAGCAGTCTGAACATCTGAATTACATAAAGTACATTGCCAGTATTAAGCCAAGTATTATACACTTAACACTTCCAGAGATACATGATGTGGAGAGAATTTGTACTGTTTGAAATGATATATTTAAAATTGTCCCAATTGTCTCTATGCATCCAGCAATTTCTGCAAGGAAAGAAGGAAAAGTTGAGAATGAGTTGAATCTGCAACAGCTATGCCAGAGGATTGCAAACCCATCCTTTCTCCTGTAATATGTTATGTGCTGATGTAGGGAAAATAACCTAGACTGTGCCAATCATCCTGCTCAGTTGGCAACACTCTTGCCTCTGTAGGTTCAAGCCCCAGGTAATGACTTTGATACTCAAAGTGGTTCCAGGGAAGCATTTGGATAAGACATTAAAACAACGTCCCATCTGCCTGTTCAGGTGAACTTTAACCCTGCGGCACCATTCAAAAAGAGAAGAGAGTTTCTCCCAGTGTCCAGGCCAACATTTCCCCAGATAAAATAAATGTTTTTCACCTCTTGGCTGTTTGTGGTACACTGCTATATGCAAATTGGCTAGCATGTTTGCTTACAAATGCAGAGTCACTTCACAGAAAGCTTTGAGGAATTTGGCAGGATAAGACACCATATCAAATGCAAGTATTAAAATAATAGGAGCAGAGATTGGGGCAGACAAAACAGAGGGTTCATTGCTGCTTGTCTCTGGATTTCACTGGTAAAGACAGACTTTATTAGGAAGGTAATATATTCCCAAGTAAACTACAGTAGCAAAACTCTATCCAAACGCCCTGCAAACGTGTGCAGTGCCTCACAATGATGTACAGGATAGCTTCAAATTCTACCAGTAACAAATCTTTGGATTAATACTAAAAAGGGTTATTTTATCAAAAAGATTTTATTACATTTTATTTAGAAAATCCTGTTTTACGCTAACCCACACATTAGGGATCATCACTTTGTGCAATTTTTTCCTTTCACATAAATCATGCTTTTCTCTCCATCAAAGAATATTAAAATGTCTCACTTTGGTTTGCCAAAACTTGATCCCCATTGTAGGAGATATGACATTATTCCCAATTTCAGTATTCAATTCTTGCACCAGCAGAGGTCAGTATTCCCTGATTTCAGTCACCAACTTATTTCCACACTGGTTCAGACACTTTAATACATCAATTTGAGAGTCTTGGATGCCCAGATGTGAAAGGTGTTGGTAATTGGGTGACCTCCACATTGCTGCCATCATTAAAATGAGCTCAATCTCCATTTATATCCACTGACATCCATCAATCTAAAATACTCAAACTCTTCCTCTTTTAAGAGAAATAGAATGGTCAAGGGGAATGTGGGCCAGTTAAAGACAAATGTAGGTGAGACTATAACAGAAAATAAGGAAATGGCTGACTTGTCAAATAAATACTTTGCTACCGTTTTTACAGTAGACGATGAGGACAAAATACAAGCCAAACAGGGGAACCTAAAAATAAGTCAAAGTGAAATGCTGAATAAAATTAATGTAAATAAAAAGTGATAAGAGAAAATAATAAGCCTCAGGATAGACAAATCTCCAGGACCCGATAGTTTCCACCCCAGGTGTTAAAGGAAATAGGAAAGGAAACTGCAAATGCATTCATCATCATTTTTCAAAGCTCACTAGATTCGGGAATTGTGCCCTTAGATTGGAAAATTGTGAATGTCAACCCTTTATTTAAGAAGGGAGGGAGGGAGAAACCAGGAAACTACACACCTGTCATCTTAAGTCAGTTGTAGGGAAATTACTAGAATCCATCATCAGGGCAGAGTGACTCAATACTTGGGACAGGTATGAGCTAGTCAAAGAGAGTCAAGTTTGCAGACAACACTAAGCTAGAAGGCTCAGTAAATTGTGTAGATGGGAGTAGGAAGTTACAAAGGGATTTAGACAGATTAAGGGAGTGGGCAAAAGTTTGGCAGATGGAGTTCAATGTTGGGAAGTGTGAGGTCATCCACTGTGGATCAAAAAAAGATAAAGCAGAATATTTTCTTAATGGGGAGAGACTTAGAACTGTGGAGGAACAAAGGGATTTTGAATGTCCATATCAACAAATCACTAAAAACTAATTCCCAGGTGCAAAAAGTAGTCAAAAAGGTGAATTGAATGTTGGCCTTTATCTCAAGGGGTCTGGAATATAAAGGGGAAGAAATGATGCTTCAGCTGTATAGAGCGTTAGTCAGACCCCATCTGGAATAATGTGCTCAGTTTTGGACACCACACCACAAACAAGATATATTGGCCCTGGAGGAGGTGCAGCACAGGTTCACTAGAAGGTTATCAGGCCTAAAAGGGTTAAGTACGAGAAAAGGCTGCAAAAACGTAGATTGTATTCCTGTGAGTTTAGAAGCTTGAGGTATTTAAGATGATGAAGGGATTCGATAAGGTAGATATAGAGAAGCTATTTCCTCTGGTGGGGGAATCCAAAACAAGGGGGCATAGTCCTAAAATTAGAACCAGGCCATTTAAGAGTGAAATCAGGAAGCATTTTTTCACTCAAAGGGTGGTAGTAATCTGGAATTCTCTCCCCCAAAAGGCCGTGGATGCTAGATCCATCCACACCTTCAAGATTGATAGATATTTGGTAGTTCAGGGTATTAAGGGATATGGGGAGAAAGCAGGAAATTGGAATTGACAGGATTAGTTGAGGTACAGATCAGCCAATTGAATGGCAGAACAGGCTCAAAGGGCTGAATGGCCTTCTCCTGTTCCTATGTTCCTCTTTTCTCTCATGCACTGCTGGATATGCTAAAATACCTAAGTCTTGGTCCTACTCCAACCCCATTTTGGCAGATGTAAAGTATTTCCTGACTTGGGTACCCAGCATTTGTTCTGGTTTAACCAAAACAATAGAATACCAATATAGATCACCAACTTCCTGCTCCTTTATGTTCATGAAGTGAAACAGATGACATACCTGAAATAACATTGTCCTATTTTTCTCTGAGTCAGAGGGCTGCACATGGCTTGGAGCACTTGCATGACGTCTACGTGCTTGCACTTTGTTGCTGAGATCAGGCACCTTCTTTGGCATAATACTGGCAACACTGTTACACCTGGACCGGAACTCCGCTTGCTGGTCATCAAATGCCGTGTCCTCCAGAATGGACTGGGCCATAGCCAGGCGAGAAGCTGACAAGCTGCTCTGGCTTTGGCTGGCTGAGAGTAGGTTAGTATTCACAGCAGCTTCGCAGGTCGGGTCACCAAATATATTCTCGGAATTGGAATCCCCTACAGCATCTGCTTCACCCTGGCCAACATCTGCATCTGAAGGAGCCTGCTCGTTCAGCAACTTGAGTCGCTGCCGCTCCAGTTCGTGCTGGGTAAACTTCTCTATGCAGTCGTCGATGAGGGTGGACGGAGCCTTCTTGTGGGTCACCACCACTTTACCACAATAGAGCACCTCATACTTTTGTGAGTTGTAAAAAGCATCTTCGCCATCTTGCCGGGATTTTGCGTCCCCCTTCAAGACCGCTTTGGAAACTTGACGGATACTGCTAATGACATCAGGAACCTGAAACAACAAGAGAAACGCTCATGTAAAACTGCTGAGGTTCTTTAACGACACAACACACTTTATGAATAAGAGGGCATCTATGCTGGTTGCCTTTCTTAAGATAATAATAATAATCCTTGCATTGATATAGCGCCTTATCGCGTCTTCGAGACGTCTCAAAGCGCTTCACAGAATATACTGTAAAGTAAATTGACTGTATATTTTGTGGGCGAAATGCGGCAGCCAATTGCGCTCAGCAGTGTCCCACAAACAGTCGTGGATTGACCAATTTATTATTATTATTTTTTTTAAAGGAATTGTTACCCCCTGGAAAAGCAATCCGCCAATCGACTAACAACCGGGTTCCTACTTACTGCTAGGTAAACGTGTGGTGTAAGGAAACTTGCGCAAAATTTCACCCTGCCAGGAAACAAACCCAGGTCTCTCGTTTGTGAGGCAAATGCTCTAACCACTGAGCTACAGGACACTAGTTCTTGAAATACAAGATTAACTTGAATTTGTACAGCAACACTGCATGAGACTGCCTGCAATACAGCACATTGAACCATCTTACTGCTGTGCATGTTAATTCCTAACTAGAAGAAGTTACTTCTGTGGAAACTCCCATTTTTGTTCAAACCCCAAATTACCCAATACAAGTATAGCTTGCTAATTCAAAAATAATTCTTCATTTAAAAACAATAAAAAAGGCACAAGAGTGCAAACATTTACAACATTTATTTCTCAAATGAATAATACCTTTTTTATCCAGTATAAAAGTGGAGCCATTCTTAAAAGCCACATGCAAAACTGTAGTATTGCAAAACGCACTCGATATAAAATGTCCAGCTCTGAAATGAACTGATTTTAACTGAAATACAGCTGCACTCGGGGGGTTTGACGGTTTCAAATTTAAAAAAGAAAGGAAGCAACAGCCCAGATGTTATCAGACTATTTATGATGTAATTCAACTGGACTTCCTAACAATGATACAAAATAACAGACCTCTGCACGTCTGGAAGTCTCACCCACTACTTAGTCATTCACTGGCATCCATTCAAAACAGCAGCTCCACATTTGTGACTTAACAGTTTACAATAATCCTAAACTGAAATTAGTTTTCAAATTAAGAAAACTTTTTAAGGACCAGAATGTTTATACTGGAAAGACATTTAGTCTCTTGGCTTCATCTTGTGCCAAAACACTGACTGTAAGACCACATTACACCTAACTCTTGCAGACTGTTCAAATAACATGCACAGCTAAACCAAAAATATTTTCAGAATCACACAAGGCAGGAAAACAACTATGTACAAAAATCACTTTTGTCTTATTTTACATAACAGCACAGACATGTTACTGTGTTCCACAAATGTGGCTTTGAGGTCTCAATGTGATTCAATTTAGGCAGTATTTTATTGTTACAATAAAATGTCAAGGCATTGGAGAGGGTGCAAAGGAGATGGCACCAGGAATGAGAGATTTTAGTTATCAGGAGAAGCTAGCGAAGTTAGGATTATTCTCCTTGGAGCAGAGAAGATTAAGAGGAGATTTAATAGAAGCTTTCAAAATTATGAGGGGATTCGATAGGGTGAACAAGGAGAAACTATTTCCACTGCCCGGTGGGTCGTAACCCAAGGACACAGAATTAAAATAGTTGTTAAAAGAAACAGAATGAGTTGTTCGGATATGGAATGTATTGCTTGAAAGGGTGGTGGAAGCTGATTCAATATTTTTCTATACCTTACAGGTACAGATATAGAAAAATAGGTTTTGTTTTTTAAAAACTAAGATAAAACAAATTTGCACCAATAGTACCACTTCGGAATGCACAGCTGTTTGTAGTTTTCAGTCAGAAGGAAATCACAACCCAGCACTCCCACCATTTCCCTTAACGCTGCTCGTTTCCTGTGAGCTCAGACACAAGTTTCATCACATGTGCTACTGGTGGATGGGAGCTGAATAATGATGATCTCAGGGTCAAAAATGTGTTGCACTTATCCTGAAGGCAAAATACATCTGGATAGGTCATCCCCAATTTAGCTCTGATTACTGTGAAGTCACCGACTTAGTGAGGCGTAGCAAAATGTGAGGTATTTCTTTTAAATTCTGTAGAACAAATAGGTCATCTTAGATATGTTAGGCAGAACTGTCTGCTTGAGCCAGCAAATAATAACAATAATTTTAATCTTTGTATTTCATATAGTGCCTTATCACATCTTTGAGATGTCTTAAAGCACTTCACAGAATATACTTTAAAGTGTAGTGACTATTTGAATTGACTGTACATTTTGTGGGCAAAACACAATAGCCAATTGCTCATAGCAGAGTCCCACAAACACCAGTGGATTAAGTGACCAAATTATTATTTGATTTATTCAATTATTTAAAATAATATATTAATTAAAATGTTATAATAAATTAGACAGTTCTTACACTCTGCAGCGTGTCCACGTGTGCACCTCTTGCACAGGAAAGAAGAGTACATTCGAAAAGTAGGGGAACAGCTATGACACCAGGCTAAAATGTTAACATATGTCAATCAGTTTATGTCACATGGCTGTACAGGTACTTGTCAAAATAACAAACTGCTGTGGTAAAAGTAGGGGATTATTTCTGACAGTGAAATACAGTAATGGGTGGTTATAGTGATTGAAATGTGAGGCAGCCAGAAAGAGCCCACGGTACATCTTGGGTAATGGGCTTGCATTCAATGAAAAGATGCTAAGGAAGGTGTGACAATCTGAATGTATGATCACCTGCTCTTTTCTAGCCCTTATTGATTAAGTTTTGTCCAAACAATTTTGAGATTTTGAAGCCTGCCATACTGTAGCCATCTTTCTGTGGTTCAGTGTGTTTGTAGGGAAACTGCAGTTTCCAATGATATGCTGAGAGTCAGTCAGGTCTTGCTATTAGAATACTTGTTCACTTCTAATCCACTGTTTGTGATTTACGCCTTAGCTCTTAAAAATCAAATTTAGCCCTGGGCTATATAGAATGGCTTTCCAAGATGAAATCTGTACTCAAATCCCACGGGTACAGTTTGATCCAATGAGAGCACCTCCCCACACTCTGTACTTCTTTATAGAAGGACTTGATCAGGATGCCCTCTGTCTCACCTGCTCTTTACTCTAATCATCGAGCCCTTGGCAAGTGAAAGTTGAAAACAAACCAATTATCCAGTCAATTTGCATTTGACTGATTTTTTTTCCAGTGGTGATGAATCACAGGAGCCAGATTCTGAACTGATCAGTGTGTTTTGTAATGGCATACTATAGTTATTAGATTTATTGGGTTTATGTGCACCAAAAAGTATGGTAATTATCTGAACAAATTATTATTTGCAGATTTGTCAACCCATGCAGACAATCTTTTGGTGAAAATCCAGTAAAAAAAACAGTCAGATAAATAGAAGGACAACTGACTTTCTTCAATCCAACTCAAGCCAGTGAGATGTCTCAACGCTATGATAAGGAAATATATCAAATGCAAGAATTAAGATTATTATTTTATTATAGCACCCATCCAGCTTGGGAGCCAGTGCTGCGACTTCCACAGCCTTTAACACATCAAATGAATGTAACAAATGACGAGCTTTAACAAATGCAGCACAATAAACTAAAACACCATTCTCCTGTGCCAACATTCCAATGAAATTACTCTGAAAGCTTTGGTTTCCCCGGGCCCATTGCCTGCTCTGTACTCTTACGATCTATGATACTTATTGATCTGCTCATAGTTCATTGCATTTCATTTCTTTCATTGAGGTTTTTTATATACCCATCTCACCCAAGAGCTTACCGGAGCTAGTTGGTATTCGGATGTATGAAATTAATTAAGACTATATCACAGACATCTGAGATCATTCATCCCTTATTGTGTTGCTCAAGTTTGAATAACAGCTGATTCGGTCATTTAACTTTAACCAGAAACATACCAGTTATCAGTCTGCTTTGGGTGTACTGTAGCTGCAGCCAACGGATTCAGAAAATTCTATTCCTATTCAGACCTATTCAGTTCTTATTGCAAAGAATAATGCCAAGGATTGTTAAACGTCTGTTTCTTGTTATGCTGAATATGTTTTGCTAAAAGATCAGGATGATTTAGAAATTCTGGACTAGCCATGTCTTGTTTTGACTGAGAAATATCGGTGAGAGGTCACCCATAATGTAGGACAATAAGAGTAAAAAGAGTAAGAGAAAGTCAAAAAGCAGGAAGTAGTCAGAGATCAGTGGTTAAAACCCAGATTTGGATGAAAGGCAATTAGCTCTTTTCAATAATGCCAATGGAGAAGGGCAACTAACTTTTTAATAAGTAAATACCACATAGGTGTTAGGCCAACCACAGTCATTCTGTTGACACAAAGAAAATCCATTCTCAAGTGTCACTTCACAGTGGGTTTAAAAATCAGGCCCCAACTGGTCGTATCAAGCGCTCTGGGACGATGCCCTGTGTGAGGGGTGCTATGTAACTGCAAGTTGTTATTATTATTATACTGCAGGCGTCACTGGGACCATCATCAAAATCAAAAACGCCCTATAAACGTTGTTGTTTGGGCACCAATCTGAACCCAACAGTAATCCCCTGCTTTCCTCAAATAGGTTTGTCCCATTGTCCTCAGGCTCAGTCACTGCAAGGTTAACATTGTGTGTATGCTTCCCTGTCTTCCAAACATTGGCAGGTATTCATTAATCTAAACTTTTCATGCCCTCTTACCACCTTTAACTGACTGATAACTCAGAGCTGAAGTTTTCAGGTTATCGTGAACCACAGCGAGTCCAGGTTGGCAGATTATCCAATCATTTTATAACTGTGTAGCTTCAGGGCTGAATCAGCAACAATTCGCATTTATATAATTCCCTTCACACAGGGTAGAGTCTCGGTGAATTTAAATCCAGAGAGAATCAGTTACAACAATCAGACAGTTAGGTGTAGGATGTTCTTTCATGCGGGTACTTGCTGAGTAACCCCTCGCCTATCAGCAGAGTGCTAATCAAGGCCACTCTACAATCTGACTA